CATCAGAGAATGAGGTATGAGTGCAAAGGAAGATCCCAAGAGATGATGGTAGACATGCCAAGTACTGAAAATGTGCCTGACTACATGACCAGTGGGCAAGGGCAGGACTGAACTCTAAAATTATTGACAGCCTCCATTCCCCTGTCCCATATAATGTGCTACCTGTGTAAGACATAAGGTGGATCTCCAGCATACTAATGTGCTGTCTTCTCAGTCTGCTGTCACCTTTACAATGTGCTTGCTATCTCTGTTCTTTGACTTCTATAAGTGACAGGTAACATGGCTTGAATTCGAGTTTCAGAAACAAAACACTGTTTCCTGGATCTTGTAATTTCAGAGACAGAAATTTTTCTCAAAATCATTCAGGGAAACATTGTCTCCCCTCTCTCTCTCTCTCTCTCTCTCTCTCACACACACACACACACACACACACACACACACACACACACACACACACACACACACGCATGCACACACCTTCCTCTTTATTTCAGGCTAGTAGGACAAGGTTCTGGTCCATCTGGGTTTAATTGAATTTCACTGCTTTTCTTGGCAGAGGAGCAGAGGGCTGTGCTTCAATGCCACATTAATGCTGGTGAGGAAGACAATAGTCAAACTCACCAGCTCCCTTGAGAGCACCCCACCCCTGCTCACTCCATCAGATCCAAGAAGCCAGATTCAAAACAACAAACTGGAAACTTGAAATCACAAAAAATCATCAAAGAAAACATCACTTCTCAAACCACCTGGATGAGAGCAAGCATGACCAAAAGAAGAAAGAAAAGGAAACACAAACAACTGGTTAATCTAGGTCAAAATGGAGGCTCATTGTGTTTTTTAACTTCTTTCCAAAGTTAATTTTCTCTGTCAGATTCACACAAGTGCTCATGATTGTAAAGGACACTTGTTTGATCTATGATAAGTGTTGTCACATCTATAGTCTAATTGATTTACTGTTGCTTACTAGATAGCACTGATTGGGCAAAGGCTCTTTCAAATAGAGTTGACACCATAGACTGTGTACACTCACTTATTTTAGCAAGTGTGAGCATTTGAGACTGGAAATAGACCCCGGTGACCAAGCACTTGCCTAGAGGGAGTGGGGCCCTACATCTGATGCCCCACAGGAAAGGTAGACACTTTTACACAAGTGTAGTAATGGAAATGTTTCTAGGCAGTACTTGTTTTTAATTCTTTTATTTTTCACAGATACATTTATAGATAAGCAGAGTGCTGGAAGTCTAAAGCCTGTTATTTGGAGGGTGAACTACATATTGGGAAATTCACAGTTAGCTCAGTGCAAATACAACATAATGGACAAATAAGTGATTTCTAGAGCCCCGCGTGCCCTATTTTTGCACTGTGAAATATTTTAAACACAATTATTTTCTGTTTACCAAATATCAGCTTCTAACTAAAGGAGATCAAGGACTACATGACTATAGATGGGGAGAGAAGGTCTGAGGAGTTTTACTACTGCCTTCTCATAGATCAGGACTAGATTTCTAACAATTAGTATGAGTGGAGAAAGCCTTGGAAAGAAGGTCCATTACTAATGCCATCCATTACTGAGACCTAAGCTAAAGCCTTGATTTTCCTGTTTTAAAGACGTATAACCACAACCCTAAGAACATTCCAAGACTGCACAAGAAGTGGTTCATGTTATTCTGTCAGTGGTCAGAGAGCCTTGCTGTTATCTGAGATGAGGTGAGGACAGGACAGAGTTGATATGTGACAGCCTTGATTCTTGGAGCCCTCAGATACCTCCCTATCCCCCTTGACCAACTAAACCCAGGCTGAAATGCCCATACTCTTTGACTGAGTGATGTTCCCAGCCAGTGGAGACCTGTGAACAGGAATGACCTTATAGATTGTGTTTATTGTAGCTTATCTTTTTACTGATATTAATTAAGATTGTCTGCTTTCTGGGCCTCTTGCAAATCTTGGCTTTGAAGCATAGCAACCTGGGTATCAATTCTCACAGCTCTGCCATTTGTCATAACATTGGGATGGAGGACCAATGACTTACCTTCCTAGACTGTCTTTCTTGTGTGACATACAGAGGTGATAGGAACATGAGCCTCTGTATGGAGACTGTGAGATGTGTCCATGTGGAGTCCAGTAGAGACTGTGGGATGACACATACGCCATGTGCACATGTGGAAAGTTTTACCTTGGTTTGTCTCATGCCCATTTTACCTTATACTAGGCTATTAAAATATTGTTATTAGTTATATTTAGTTTGTATAAAACAGGATTTATTATGATATTTTAACACATATGTATATAATATGCAGAATTGGTTTTTTAATGTAGATTCCTTTTAAAAATATTTTTATCAAATAGAATGATGAAGTCTTATTTCCTAAATTAAGATTGTTTCAGATAAAATTATATTCATAGCTTTTTAAATGAATTTATTTAAATGTATTTAAATTTTTCCAGGTACTAGTACATTTTTAATAATTTATTTATAATTTATTTAATTTTATGTGCATTGGTGTGAGTGTGTCAGACCTCCTGGAACTTGAGTTATAGACAGCTGGGAGATGCTATGTGGGTGGTGAGAATTGAACCTGAGTCCTCTGGAAGAACAGTCAGTTCTTAACCCCTGAGCCATCTCTCCAGCCCCTGCATACTGGTACATTTTTAAGTTAATAAAATTATCAATTAAAAATAACATATGGGGTTTTGTTATACAGTTAGAATTGGCAAATACTTAGGAGCTTTTGTCTTTGACTTTTGGGGTTTGTCTTTTTTTTTTTTTTTCTATGAAGAAACTGGTTTTGAAATGTTAAGCTCTGGGTCCTTCTTGTTCT